GTCATTGCGCTATTTTGGGCTGTTTTTTACTGGCATCATGGGATGCAGAATTAAAATAATGTAATAGTTGTGATCATTATTTGACCTTCCATGATCATTCAGACTTGATCAGGTGCAGTACTGACACTCTTTGTCAAGTCTGCATTAAATCAAGCACTCCGTAATCACAGGTAAACTGTCTGATCAGTCAGGTGTTTGTCATGAGAAGTGTTCCATAAAACAGCTAAGATAAGAGTTGATGTGACAAATACATCTTTTGAATATACTGTGTGAACTCATTGCCCCGTTAGCTCAGAGAGCTTTATTTTCCCTCCTCAATAAGTTTTGTCAGTTGTTTTGTTTATTGGTCTAATTCTTGTTTCTTGGGTTGCATTGGTTAGTCAATCAATTCATTCTCTTGTGCTTCGTTCCCCCCTTCTGAATTATGTTGTATTGATAAGGAGTTATCACAAAGTAAGACTGTTTAGTTGTGCTATCTTACAATCAATATATAGTAAATGCAAGTTAAAGTGTCACCGATGTAACTGGTTAAAACTTGGAGTGGCGATGAGGTCTTAAAATGTATGGAAAGAGTCTTAAAAAAGGTATTAAATGTAACTCCATGATTGCTGTATATACCCTGTACTCAAGCAGCATGCTCGGTAAATGTGCTGTAAGGCCAGTGATGAGCTCAGCTATTCTCACCACTTCCTGAAGAGCTTTGCAGCTGGAAGAAGAGTTGCTGCCGCGTCATACAGCAATACATCCCGTGATGCAGTGGCTCTCATAAGGGAGGCTTCCCTAATGCTCAAAACTTGTTCACTTTCTGCATTCAAATTTACTGCATTGACGATAGATGCGAGAACCATCAAGGTTTGTGTGTGCGGCTTCTTCTTCTCCTTTATGAATGCCACTCACAAACGTTCTCACGTGTGAGACGGATTCAAATGAGAGCGGACAAGATTTTGACTTAAATTATGGTTTGTTTGTCACGTAAAGCAATCAAATTAATTCAGAAGGCTCTGAATAATGCACAAGAATCATATGAGCTACTTTAATGGTTCTTTTATCTTCTTTTTGGAGCTTGACCGTCACACTAGCTTGCAGAGGCATGAGTAAATGTCAAGATTTTTTTTAACCCCTTTGCAAACCTGTAAAATTGGACTAAAACCCAAAGTAAATTGCATGCTGTTCTTGAAGCATTTGGAGTATATGCATGGTTTTGGTCTCTTTTGAAAGGTGACACTCTGAGGGTTGTTCCTAAACCTCAGAATCACTGTAAGTCTTACTGGTATTGCATAATAGAACTTTGAACACACTGAAAAAGGGAAAAAAACATTCCTCCTGCATTTGTTTTGTAAACGGATGACTATAGCTGGGAGCTTTTAGCTGGAAAACACAATGGGATCACAGCATGAAGCCTTGCTGGCGGTCTGACAAAGACACTGATTGTACCTTAAGAAACCTTCCTACAAAGCTACCTGAGAAACTGCGCCAATCAGAGCAGACTGCGCTTGTCGGAAGGAGGGACTTTGTAGAAAACGAAGCGTTTGAGAGAGGCGGGGCATAGAGGACCTACAATAATGTACAGTATTTGAAAAATAATGTGTTTTTTGAACATTAAAGCATGTCAACATATTCTGTTACACCAAATACACAAAATAATGATCTTTAAAAAAGCATCATATGACCCCTTTAAACACAAATGGTGCTCACACCAAATGTTGATTTAATTTAGTTAATAGAAGTTAATTGATAAATAAAATCTATTTATGACATTATTTTTGAAAGCATCCTGATTTTAGTGCCTAAAACTTCTCACAGTACTGTAGCCTTGCAGGAAGGTTTCTTCAAGTGTCTTGGAGACGTTGCCACAGTTCTTCTGGATTGCGTCTGTCTCAGTTAGTTCTGTTTCTTCATGTAATCTCAGACGGACTGCATGATGCTGAGATCAGATCTCTGCGTGCAGCACTGGCTGCTGTCAGACTCCTTGTGCATACAAAGATCTCACTGGATTATTACAATTAATGGCAAAATGAATGTTTGGAAATATAAACTGATATTTCCTCCTGACACACTACAGCAAAAGATAGAAATAATGGACTTAAAACTATTTTTAGCTGCTGAAAATACTAGTGCTCTAATGATTTTGGCCACCATTGTATATATTTTTAAAAGTCGATCTCAGAGCACTTTTAGCATCACACACACAAACGGAGAACCACTGGGTTTAGGTTTAGGTTTAGGTTAGTTTTTAGGCTACTCTCATGTAACCAGACCTCTGATTAAAAGACAAGGTTGTGAACTGCACTTTGCCAGAAGAGGCCGTCTGATTGAACAGCCACATTTGTTCGGTGTGTGTTTAGGTGTGGATTTTTCTGATATGCAGCAGTTTTTCCTTAAAAGCGCTGATGGACTGATAAAGCCTTCTGTGCCCTCACTGACAAAAGTAATGTTAGCAAAAGTACTTTTCCAGTTTTGTGTGAAGTATGCATGAAGCGGTCAGCGAACAAACAGGACTAAATGTAAATTGCGATATTTGGTGTTTGAGTCCACTTGAGGACAACCGCTGTGGTTGATGAATAATCATTTGAGTAAATTTTTTCTAACATTGAGTTAATCTAGTGTAGCTATCACACATGCGGTGATTTCATGAAGGAACAGATGAACCCGACATATGTTAGTAGTAATGAAAAATGAGTCCGATCCAGCCTCTTAAAATCCTATTCCACATTTTGGTTTTGCTTCAGAAAGATTTAGAGAGATTTTGGGAAGCCGATCTCAGAGCAATTTTAGTCCCTCAAGACAGTACTAATGACTTCCTTTTCCTGAACAAGCTAAAGACAGGGTAAAAATATCCCTGCGAACTACAACATTAACAGCCGAGCTAAGCTCCTGTCTGTCTTCATGTATCCTCACAGTGCTCAGAAACTAATAAAGCACATTATAATGACCGTACGTGAGATCCCCTGGACAAATAATGCAGGCGGAAGCACATGAGAGACTTCAGTCATCAGTTTCACTCTGAGGTTTTCAGAACAACATCCCCTTTCCGTATAAACAAGAACATAACTGATGAAACCAGAAGTTAGGCAGATGGAAAGACTAGGATTTTTAGAAATGATGTATCTAAATGTTAACAGTAAGCATGTCCCGGGGCCCAGGGGAGAGTTATGGCTGTGTTCTGTTGATCACGTACATGTGTTTTTATGCCTTGCAATAATATTGATTATGTCAATTGTGCTGATTTCAATATATCACTGTGGAAAAGTTGTCTAGCTGGCTATCATAGATTAAATTTAGTCTTGGTGCATCTTTTTTTTTTTTTTTTTTTTAAAAATTGGAATTTTTTTTTTGCCCTCTTTTTTTTATATATAAGCCTCTTCAGACAGCGTGCCAGTAGCATACTGAGTTCTCTTTCGCAAACAAAAGCACACAAAATTGTCAAAATGCCCATTTTTGGCAAGTGACCTCGTAAGCAGTCTTAAATGAGTTAAGAAGTCCTAGATGAGTTCTGAGAAAATCGGATGTGTGTCAGGTTTTAAAGAGACAGCGCTGCTTTTAAAGTGAAACCTGCTGCAGTCTGTTCTTGATGGAAATCAGTGAGACATCACTTACTGTTCTTCTCGCTGATTATCTTTCGTTGCTTGAAAAAAGCTATAAGACAATTTAGTCAATTTATTCAATGAATATACAATTTATAGATAATGTGAAGATTGTTTTAAGTTCACTTAAATTAAAAGTTATATTTTTCA